TGTGTTATATGGGATACTTACATTAGTAGTTGAACATTCAGATGTATCGGACGTGTTGATATAAATCCGTAAATTAATCTAGTTTATTGAATAGATCCGAATAACAGAAATATTGGTAAATAAATGCACGCGTAGCACAAGTGATTTTTTGATAAAAACTAAGAAAACAAAACCAGATTTTGAGATTTGAAACTAATAAAATTCAAATAAAAACGTAATTGAATATTTCGGCGCCGTGGCAAAAAAAGCGTACGATATCTTTTCGGTAAAAAGTGTACAATCGACGAGTTTTTTTTTCTGTTTCGACTAACGTTGCGCGGTTGCCAGACAGTTGCGATTGTAGTTATGGTTGGAAAATATAAGAAGAAAAATGTTATTAAGTGCAATGCTTGTTCAGCAAACATTACAAAATCGCAAGCATCTATGAGATGCCATGGTGGGTGTAGTGGATGGTTTCATGAGGCGTGTACGAAGTTATCTAATGAGGAGTACTTAATATTCAGTTCAAAAACTTATAAGAATGTATGGAAATGCCCAAAATGTGTTGAAGCATCTGATGGAGACGGTGATGGAGACGAACAATCTGAATCGGATGAGGAAATCCAAACGACAAGTTCCACTTCACAACAGCGTTATTCTATTCATGAATCATTAAATCAAGCGAACCCCTCTAATAAAGATATATTAGATGTTATGACAGCAAAATTTTCTGTCTTGGAGAAATCTATTCAGTTTACCAGCGATATACTTGATGATTTACAAAAAACAATTAAGGCAGTTGGTCAGGAGAACGAGCGACTCAGGAAGGAGCAAAATGTATTAAAAGGCAAAGTTAAGGGTCTCGAGGATCAGGTTCATGTGCTACAACAAAAAATAGATAATGAAGAACTTCAGAAAAAAAGTTGTAATGTGGTCGTTGTTGGGTTGCCAGGCAGCCCTACTGATAACTTACGAAAAGTGTTCCATAAACTTCGATTTGCTGTTCAAGATGAAGAATATACTATTTTGCCGCTTCGCACTGAAACTCAGCTTGTGAGATTTACTAAGCCAGAACTCTCTAAGAAACTACTGGAACTTCGAAAATCCATCAGAGTGCTTGATACTAAGGATTGTGGAATAGACGGAGAGACGAGAAGAATCTATATAAATGAAGACTTGCCAAAAACGACAAGAGACTTATTGAAAAAGGCCAGAGACTTGAAGAATTTTGGTTACAGGTATGTTTGGTGTAGGAATGGAAGGATATTTGCTAGAAGGGATGAGGGCGAAACTTTAGTTAAGATTAAGGATTTGGAGTGCATTAATAAATTAATGAATAATTAATATAACAATTTATGTTTTTTGCTATGTACTTTTTATTTAATAATGGATTCACTTAAAAAAATTAAATTTGGACACGTAAATGTTCGTTCTCTGAACCCTTGTATAGATGACATTGAGGAACTGTTAATGGAACATGAAATAGATTTTTTGGGAATAACGGAAACTTGGCTTAATCATAAAGTAGATAGTAAACTGGTGGATATTTCCACTCACAAATTTCTTAGGCAGGATCGTGGCTCTGGGCGGCGAGGAGGTGGTATTGGAGTTTTTATTAGGGATTGCTTGGAACATCGTATCGTTCAAGAGTATTGTAATAGTGACGCTGACTTAGAACAGTACTGGGTTTTGCTACAACTACCAAAAATTAAAATGATAGTTGGTATAATTTATCGGCCGCCTAAGGGTAGTGTTTCTAATGCACTTAATAATTTGGAAACATCGCTCTTTAGCATTTTACCTCAATGCGATGAAGTGATGCTTATGGGCGACATAAATATAGATATGTTGTCTGAAGGTATATACCAGAATCAGGTTAACGATATACTCAATGCCTTTCAATTAAAACAACTAGTAGTATCACCAACTAGAATAGTCGAAAAAGTAGTACGCTTATTGATATAATAGCTATGAGTAATATTAATTTGTCTGCTGGCGCACCTGTCCACGTAAATATGCATGATATTACAGATCACCAAATGATATTCCTTAATCTAGGAATAAACATAAGTAAAGAAAAAAATTAAATTTCATTCTTATAGAGATTTTCGGAATTTTGATGAGACTGAGTTTAATAATGACTTTGCGTAGATTGAGTTGGCAAAGAATATTTCATACTAATGATATTGATGTAAAATTGATATTTTCACTAATTATATAATGGGTCTCTTTGAAAACATGCTCCCTTTCGACGAGTAAGGTTGACAAAACCAAGAGCACCATGGTTTAGTACGGAACTTCGTCTTTTGAAAAAAGATCGTAACCGTGCCTTTAGTCGGTATAAAAAACATTAAGTCTGGAGGATTATGCAGTTTATAAGAGAGCTAAAATAAGTTTACACAAGAAGTGCGAAGAAGTAAATATGAATATCTCGAAAATACTCGAAAAAATCTCAGTAAGCGTGAAATATGGCAAGCACTTAATAACTTAAATGTACATAAGCGCAATAATACTAAAAAAATTCCAGATAATCTTAAAGATGTGAACACAATAAATCGCCATTTTGTAGACTCTATAGAGGCTCTGAAATGTGTGACTGATCCTGTTACTGTTAACTTTTACAATAATAACACATTAGCGCACGTGAAAACATTTCAGTTTAATAGCATTAATGAAGCAGATCTGCTTGATGCCCTTGCTAGCATTAAATCCAATGCAGCAGGCTGCGATGGTATATCTCTATTAATGGTTAAATTGTGCTGTCCTTATATTGCCCCCTACCTTGCTCATATTTACAATTGCTGTTTAAATAATAGCTATTTTCCGATTAGTTGGAGAAATGCAATGATCATGCCCTTGCCAAAAATCTCCAATCCTACAAGTTTAAAAGACATTCGACCTATAAGTAAATTGCCAGTTTTATCAAAGATATTGGAAAAGTTGGTATATAGTCAAGTTTTAAATCATTTAACTAAACATAATTTGATCCCTGATTGCCAGTCAGGATTCAGGAGTAAATATGGTACTTCTGCCGTTTTAGCTAAAGTTTTGGATGATATATTAACAGAATTAGATACAGGTAAGGGTGCAAGTCTGCTTCTATTAGATTATACTAAGGCATTTGACACCTTGGGGCATGACCTTTTACTGGCAAAGCTTCATTATTACGGGTTTTCGGAAAATGTTGTGGAATTGGTTGGCAGTTATTTGTCTAATAGATGCCAGTGTGTAGTTCTCGATGAGGCTCAGTCGGATGCTTTACCGCTTTCTAGGGGTGTACCTCAGGGTTCCATTTTGGGACCACTCTTGTTCCTTATTTACACCGCTGATTTGAAAAATAATGTTGTGGATTGCGAACTGCATCAATTTGCCGATGACACGCAAATATATGCAACTTACACTGCTGAAAATGCAGCAGCTGTTTACAATAATATTAATTCTGCTCTTGAGAAAATAAGTAAATACTCATTGAATCATGGTCTTCAGTTGAATCTTGGCAAAACTCAAATGATTTGTTTTGGTAGGGTACCCTTAGCAAAGGGATTATCTGTTAAACTGAATAACGAAATAATCCATCCATTAAAAACTGTCAAGAATTTGGGTTTGGCTCTAGATTGTGATTTGAGATTTCGAAATCATGTCAATTCGATTGTGCAGAAAAGTTATACAGCATTGAGGGGATTGTATAGGAATAAAAATATTATGAGTCAAGCATTGAAACGTAGTCTATGTGACAGTTTGGTTCTTAGCCATGCCAACTATGCTGACATTGTCTATGGACCTTGTCTTGACGTGCACCTCCTCTTCCAGAATACAGAAGATTCAAAATTCATGTGTACGTTTTATTTGTTCTCTGGATAGAGGGGATATCTCACCTTGGCTTAAAGAATTGAAGTGGCTTAATATGTATGAACGCCGTAGACTGCATTTGGCTACCTTTGTACACAAACTAATTAAATTACAGACACCATTATATTTAAAATCTAAATTAAAACTGCTTCAAACTGTTCATAGCAGAGACACTCGAAATATTAACCAGTTATATCTACCTCAATATAAGACCTCTTTATATCGACGATCATTTACGTATTCTGCGGTCTCGTTATATAATTCCCTGCCAAGTGCTTTAATAGCTAAGTCCCTCGGTTCATTTAGATCGGGGTTCAGAGATTTATTATTCCATAATGTGAGTTGAGTATACTTTTGAAGCCAGCCAACTATGCCTCTCCTTGGTTCTCCCACCAATACATGCCTGTTGCCTTATGTTATTGCATAATGTACTTATAGGTATTAATTGTTCTCTATGTGTGTCTATGTGTTACACTAATAGTTTTGTTAATGCTTTATATTTTTTATATTTTTTGTATTTTCATTATTTTTTTTTGTTATTATATTTATACATTTGATATATTAATTTAAGATAAGGTAGTGGATATTGATATTATTTGTTAGGTTATACTGTAATGGTACTCGGTTAACTAAGCAGTTATTTACTGAAATTCGCCGAGGATTATTAAAATAAAGACATATTATTATTATTATTATTATTATTATTACTTCTAATTAACTTTGAATTTTAAGTGAGTTTTTAGATACTCCCTGTTTTTATCGGAACAAAAAATTACAGATTTCGATTTTGAAGGATTTAAAAGTAAGCCATATTCACTTCCATAAACTTCAAAACTTTGCAACGCTTCATTCATAAATTGACTGGATAGAAACTCTAGGAATTTCAGAGAAACTTTTGATGCTCCAATATACACTGACATTTATTATAAATCCCTTTTATATTTCAATTAGCAATGCAAAATATGGTTTAGTATACTTTTAAATACCCACCTTCTATCATTAAATAAATACCTTTTCCTTCTTTAGTTACACGTAGTTTAAATGACTTGCTGTTTACTAGCGTTAAGGTCAGGTAAAAGTTACATAATTACTGGACATGATTCATATAAAATTACGTAGAATTTAATCAATATCTTTGGCATTTAATATATTATATTTTCTTTTTGTTTTAGAAAAATCCTCTGCACACAGTACCTACCCTGGAAGACGGCAACTTTGTGCTTTTTGACAGTCACGCGATCAACGCTTACTTGGTAGGAAAATATGGAAAGAACGATTCCCTGTACCCAAAGGATCTCCAGAAGAGAGCAATAGTAGACCAAAGATTACATTTCGACTCTGGAATTTTATTTCCTCGAATGGGCGCTATAGTTGTAAGTAAACGAAATGTAATTTAGTATTTTATAAACCATGGCTTATTATGATCGAATCATAATTTGATTATAAGCGATGACGGGCGGTGGGTAAATAAAATTTGAGTACAGTAGAACAAGGGTAAAACTTAACGACAATTCGGACACATATCGGAATACTTATGAAGTATCCGCATACTGGAAGGATCTTTTTATAATGTTACTGTTTCTTAATTTTATTGTTCCCAACCTAAATTCAAAATTTAAACACATTTTTATTTAAATCAAAACGCACATCGCTTTATAAAACATTAACACTTTTTTGTTCTTACAAATTGTGCTTATTGTACCAACATGTCGCTACAGGGTGTCCCAGGCTTAGCGTGCATTAGAAGTCTCTAGAGAACTACATCATCTAGCTCGGAGATTTTTTGCACATCATAGTTTCACAACGAGATCTATCGATTAAAAATATTTTCAATATGGCGACACTTCCGGAACTACCGGAAGTTGACAGCAACTTTCTTATTTTAAATGGGTGCCCCCATTTTTTATTACATGCTTAAATTCTCTGTAAGATTTTATGAATTTTGATATTGAACACTCTATATCTTACAATGACCGTTTTTGAGGAAAAAATATTTAAAATTTTTGAACGAAGAAAACTGCCTGTCAAAAACATGTGTATAGCCTAAACGTCAAATTTAGTGATTACCACAGCCACTGTGCCATAGAAACAAAACATGTGGCGATCTATTTCAAAAATTAAATTGTTCGAATGTCATATAATAATGGCCGCAGCTGTCATAGAATTGAGCGATTAAAAATTATCATAAATCATTTTTTTCAAATGGAAACCCACTTTTTTTATTTCACCAGCGAAAAGTCTTTTCAATTCATTACTTTTTGACTATACATGTTCCTGTACCTAAAATAAATCGTTTTTAAGTTATCATTTAGTTTTAAAGCGTATATTTTTCTTGATTTTAACCAGTAGCCTATGACTTTAAACGTCAAGTGATGTAAAACAATAGATCTGGCCATATCATATTGTGACGCTTTGTTCAAAAAGCAGCATTATTTCCGAGCCAACTCTTTGCACTGTTTTTTTTTCGATCATACGGAATATTATTAATATCAATTATTAGATATCACTATATATAAAGAGCGAAAATGCGCGATATATTTTTATAAATACACTTTTTAAACTCTTAAGGCAGGCAGTATTTATAATATAGGAAATTCAAATAATTCGTTTTCTGCTTTGAATAAGAAGACTAAGGAAGGAGCATATCAAAAATATTAAGTACACCACGATGGGCCTCAAATATGCCGACTTAAATTCCGGTTTATCAGTGTCGTTCTAATTTTATTTAAAAAATGTAAAACTATGATGTAGGGTAGACGTGGGGTAGACTCAATAATTTGTTGTTTTATTTTACGTTGTGAATAAATGTTGGTAGTTATTAAAATTGTTATAAAAATATATAATTCTAATAAAAATAGATAAGTTATAATAACTATTTATTAACACAAACATCCGATACGCTACTGAAGCAGGTAAGTCAAATTAACGTATCTAAATTCTTTGACATCTAATCTTTGACAAGTAATAAATAAAAGCTAAAATGCAAGAAAAATATATAATTTAGTTAATTTAAGTGAATTTCATAAATGATCGGTTTACTACACGTATGTATATTATATAGTCACTTACTAGCGAAAAGTTGTTCCATTATTTCACATAATTTTTGCCGAGATCTACCGCACGCTACACAACCAACTATTTTAGAGTCTTTTTCGATAAATCGCGATAGTGTCACTGTTAATTTAAGTTCTGCCACAATTTCCATCTAGATTTACTACCTTTATACAACTATCAGTAGTAGAATAAATAATAAATAACATAAAATCAGCTCCGTAAAGACTGACAAATCCACAAAATTTCAAATCAAATTCAAATGTGTCAAATGAATCGTCAAACAGAACTATCAAGGATCACCACCCTAGAGAGCTTTTATGGTGCCTTTTCCGCCCACCATGCATGAATATATGGATAGCATTATGCTCCTTCCTTAGTCTTCTTATTCAAAGGTTTTCTGACAGAGGGAAATAAATTGTCTGACCGTTTGACACTTAATGTCAAAGGAAGGTAGATACAATGAAGAAAAATATACGTTATGATAATCTTAAATACCTTAAAAAGGATTTATTTTAGGTATAGGAACATGTATACATGTGTTTTTTGACAGGTAACTTTTTTCGTCCAAAAATTTTAAATATTTTTTTTTCGCAAAAACGGTTAATGTTAGATATAGAGTGTTTAACATCAATATTCATAGAATTTTACAGAGAATTTAAGTATGTAATAAAAAATGGGGACACCCATTTAAAATAAGACAGTTGCTGTCAACTTCCGGTATTTCCGGAAGTGCCGCCCTATTCAAATTTTTTTAATCGATAGATCTCGTTGATGAAAACAATGATGTGCAAAAAATCTCCGATCTAGACATTGTGGTTCTCTAGAAACTTCTAATGCACGCTCAGTCTGGGACACCCTGTATATTGTACACATAAGATAACTCAGTTACTACTTACTACCAGGGCCGGCGGAAGGGAAATATTGAGACCGGGCGAATACACTACATGGCGCCCCCCCCAATATTTAACATGTTACTATAACAACTAAGCATATTTATGCTACTTTAACAATAAAATTTCACTTAAAGGTACTTCAAAATTCTTCTGTGCGTTCAATCTTAGTCAGCGGTTGTTTTTTCTATACCGGGTGCATCTTGAGAGTTTTATTTTTTTAGATAAAAAACGAAATTTGGTATGTTAGTATATGACATAAATTAGGATTGATTGACGTATTCAATTGTTTTTGGTCACTTCCTGTTTCAACGAAAAACTATTGATTTTTAAATGGCACCGTCGGTATATTTCTGGTTTATTCGACTTAAAATGACACTCTGAGTAGAATGACATATCATATATGTCAACTTTTGACATTTTTGCTCAAAAAATCGTATTTTAAATTTCAATCTAGAGTGCCATGGTTGTGTTAAAAACACTAATTTTTAAACAAGGAGCGTTGGAAAAATAGATTTGATCGTCTAATGTTTTTCGTGTCTTGTCCTGGTCGGTTAAAAAATGCCCAAATCGTATTTTTAATCATATGCCAATTTTTTCAAATGGAACAAGTGGCTCATTTGCATATTTGGAAAAAGAATTTTTTACGAATGATTTTGTACCAGACACATGATATTTCGAGTTAAATTGTCGTTATGAACCGTATGTTACAATTTCAAATAATCCATACGCGAAAATGTCAAAAGTTGACACATTATGATATGTCATTCTATTCAGATTGTCATTTTCTATCGCATAAAGTAGAAATATACCGAGGTTGACATTTAAAAATCAAAAGTTTTATTAATTTCCGGTGAAAGAGAAAGTGATCAAAAATAATTGAATACTAATCGTATACTAATCTCATTTTTAATCTGATTTTTGATCTGATACTAATCTCGTTTTTTAATTTTTTAATCTCTCTTTCTTAAATCTCGTTTTTTTCATCTGAAAAAATAGGAGTGAGCCAGTTTTGAGACGCACCCGGTATATAAATGATAAGTATAAGTGATCTTTGAAAACATTACTATTCTTTTTTTTTTCACAATCAATTATTTCGTGCAGAATCAGTATAGGTATGATCAGATACAGTTTTGTCGGCTTCAAAATGAGGATCAGCCAGTGTTTGAGATTTGAGATGCATTCATTTGTCTTGCTTTAATGAGAAATTTCTACGATTCTGCTACCATGTACCATATATATTACTACATATTCAATCCAGAACAATCAAAATCACCAAAAGATTGATATTTTCCCACTACTGGTTAATACATTAATGAGGCAAACTTACAAGCTTTTTTTTGATAATAAGGATATCGGGATCCTATTTAGCTTCTTGCGAATGAATATTTGTCTCATATAATTTTAGGGCAGATCAGCCATTAACAAATAAAGGGTGTGGGTAGTAGACAAAGTGCAATTTTGAGCAACAAGCAGTCTAAAACTGTCAATTTTGCTGGCTCTTGACCCAAAACAGTTTGTTTAGAGAAAATTTATAAAAACAAGAATTATAGAAAGAAGGGTTATTTACAAAAAGTTGATAGCTTTTCAGTTATAAGTAAAATAGCACGAACAATTTTTTTTAAATATTTTAATTTTGGCGTGGCGCCCCTCGCATTCGGCGCCCCGGGCGGTCGCCCGGCTCTTCCTCCGGCCCTGCTTACTACAATATCCATATTAAGTAACTACGCACCTTAATACACATTAAATACTTACATAAAAATGTCAACAAATGTAAAATTAATATTTGATTCGAATTAATTGGTTTTTAAAATAATGTATCGATTTTTATCTGTATACACATTTATTGATTTTGCTGCCTCAACAGCCTTCTCTTTTACTCATTTCAAAAGCACAAACATCGTTTCCTTCTACTCAGTAAATATTTTTTAATAAAGATTTTACAGCAATGTTAAGCATTGCTTTCATTTTCACCACAACATTGATATTTTCTGATTCACTTCTAGTATTTTGTCTAGTATTTTCTCTTCAATTTGTGTCTGCCTTTTTAGCCGACCATACCAACAGGTATGGTAGGCTATTAAGATCGGCAAAAAAAGTTTAATTTCACTCAAAATGAGTTATTTGGGTCATAAATGACCTAAATACAAAATGGTGTCTGTCTGTCTGTCCGTCTGTCTGTAACACGATAACTCAAAAACCCGATTTTAACCAAATTTGGCACAAAAATACTGTGGCACCCGAGAATCTGGCTATTAGTTTTAGGTGGGGTGGGGGGTTGGTAAGGGGTATGGGAGGGGGTTAAAAATTTTAAAAAATCGTATCTCCAAAATTACAGTAGCTAGCGAAACGCGGTTTTCAATTTAAGATTAGGAATAATATTTGCAACAATATTTGCAATAACATCAAAATCAGTCAAAGTCGCAGTTTTTGAGATAAAAAAAAATGGAAAAATTCCTATACTTTGAAACAAAAAGAACTGCCTACCAACTTTTTATTAACATATTTTAGTATGGGCGGCTATATACGTGCCTCCCGGCGCCAATTTTTTCTCTTCAATTTGTGCCAAACCGTAGACAAATTATCTTCTTAAGTTCATATACAACTTTTTTATTTTGTACATGGTTTGTTTCTTTTATTTGTTCTTGGTAGATATGATATTTTTGTTCTTCGTCGTCTGATTTAAATGGGCAAAAGGGGTATAGCCGGATTAATATGGGAAATCTGCCCCGCGGCTTATATACAGGGTGTTTCAAAACAAATGCGAAAAACTTCAGGGGGTGATTCTTTGTTCAAAATAAAGGGTAGTTTGCTTTATAAACGTTGGGTCAAAAGTCAACCATTAGGGAGATATCGCGGTACAAAGATGGCGGAAAAATAATGTTTTTATTCTTTATCTTGAAAACGAAAAACGATAGACTAATGAAATTTTATGGAAGCATTACTGTTATGAAAACATACTTTCTGGTAATTTTTCTCACTTTTTAAAATGAGTGGAAGGTGTTGAAATAAACTACCCCTATCATTCTTGTTAACGAAATTAAAAAAAAATGCTTATCAAACACATGCAAAAAAAATTAATTTGGATAGTTTAGTTTGTTTAGAAACTTTTTTATCTCTTGTGTTTTTTGATAAAACTCACCGATTTGAAATTAAAAAATAAAAATGTAAAGCATTACATATCAGGACATAAAACATTTTTAGATAAAGAATCTAGTGGGCTGCTCTAATTTTTTAGGGAAAAAATCTAGTCGGCCGCTGTCACTTTAGGATGTTTCTAATATTATTTTATTGACATTACTCTACTGCAATACGTTATTATCTAGATTCTTATTATTATCGTTATTATTACTAGATTCTTTATCTAAAAATGTTTTTGATCCTGGTATGTAATGCTTTACATGTTATTTTAATTTCAAATCGGCGAGTTTTATCAAAGAAACACAAGAGATAAAAAAGTTTCTAAATAGTTCAAGCTATCCAAATCAATTTTTTTGTAATGTGTTTGATAAGATTTTTCTTTAAATTTCGTTAACAAGAATGATAAGGGTAGTTTATTTCAACCCTTCCACTCATTTTAAAAAAAAAAGTGAAAAAATACCAAAAGTGTTTTCGTAGCAGTGTGCTCCCATACTTCATTAGACTATCTTTTTCGTTTTCAAGATAAAAAATAAAAACATTATTTTTCCGCCATCTTTGTACCGCGATATCTCCCTAATGGTTGACTTTTGACCCAACGTTTATGAAGCAAACTACCCTTTATTTTGAACAAGGAATCGCCCCCTGAAGTTCTTCGCATTTGTTTTGAAACACCCTGTATATAGAAAAAAAAGCATCATTAATGAATTTAATGGTTTTGAATTTTACTATAAAAATAACATTGAAAAACAGTTTTTTTTGAAAATCTTGAAAACCGTTTGAGTTGAAGAGCTAAAAATTTAGGTGAATTATTTTGATTCGACACCAAATCGATCCCCTGAGTGCGAGTCAAAAAAGCGCTGGGGCAAATTTCCCATATTAATCCGGCTATACCCTTTAGTCAAAAAATATAGTCGTATGTACCACTAGGTGTGGAATATGACGTTATGAATAAATCATATAAAAATGTAATTACTCTATTATTATTCTTATTTTTATTATATTACTTATATTATTACAGGGTGCAATACTCAGACAAGGAGCTAAAGTAGTTGAAAAGGACAAGGCTGATCTAGTAGCTCAAGCTTACCAATCCTTAGAGACGCTCCTAGAAGGCAACACTTACGTAACAGGCAACGAACTGACAATAGCCGATTTCAGTTTAGTAGCTACAGTTTCCAGCACCAACTCAGTTCTAGTACCAGTTGCATCCAACACGTATCCAAAAATCACTGCCTGGCTAGCTAGAATGCAATCGTTGCCATACTACAATAATGCGAATCAAGTGGGAGTTGACATGTTCAAAGGAATGATCCAAAGCAAATTGGCTTAAGTTAAATATTTACTTTTGTGTTAAATTGCCTAATAGACGAATAAGAAACATGTATTTTTAACAATGCTTTATATGTTTGTAAATTTGAAGTGTGTTTTGACTGTTTGATATTTCATATAATAAACGAATTAACATAGATTGTATTGTATTGTATTGACTAAGAGTGGGTCCCATGGGACCCTCCACTGCGGCCGCGAGGGCCTATTATAGCTCAGTTTCTACAAGCTCTTTGATATAAAAAGAGCGTTAAAGTTCACCATCACGACTCAGCCTTTTAACATAGGCCGTTATGCCCAGGGCCGTTCCTGGCGGGAGTGCAGTGCGTGCACGCACGTAGGCGCAACATTTTGGGGCGCAAAATCGAAGTGTCAATCAGTACTTTGTAACAAAAAACCGATACGCTTTCTTGTTAATAAACAAATACTTAAACATACATCATAGGATAAAGTTTGCTTAGCGTCTTTTTTGCGTTGGCCGCACCGAATAAACAAGTCTAGGGCAATCTGTCGGCCACACATTGATCTCATCTATTTATTTTTCATTTTATTCATTTTATGGAAAGCATTGTTCATTAAAATGTTGTATCCTCTGTTATAGGACTTGTTTCTCTCTACAATTTCCTGTCTCACAACTCACAATGTACCGTTTGTGTCGGGGACGGGATCATAGTTTCATAGTTGTCGATTTTCGAAAGAAATCAGTACATGTATATTATTTAGTATATTTTTCATTTTATTGATTTTATGGAAAGCACTGTTCATTAAAATGTTGTATCCTATGTTATAGGGCTTGTTTCTCTCTACAATTTCCTGTCTCACAATGTACCGTTTGTGTCCAGGAAGAGTTCATAGTTTCATAGTTGTCGATTTTCGAAAGAAATCAGTACATTTATTTTATTTCGTATATTTTTCATTTTATTGATTTTATGGAAAGCACTGTTCATTAAAATGTTGTATCCTATGTTATAGGGCTTGTTTCTCTCTACAATTTTCTGTATATCCGTTTCTGTCCAGGAAGAGATCATAGTTTCATAGTTGTCGATTTTCGAAAGAAATCAGTACATGCATATTATTTCGTAATTTCTCATTTTATTGATTTTATGGAAAGCACTGTTCATTAAAATGTTGTATCCTATGTTATAGGACTTGTTTCTCTCTACAATTTCCTGTCTCACAATGTACCGTTTGTGTCGGGGACGGGATCATAGTTTCATAGTTGTCGATTTTCGAAAGAAATCAGTACGTGTATATTATTTCGTATATTTTTCATTTTATCGATTTTATGAAAAGCACTGTTCATTAAAATGTTGTATCCTATGTTATAGGGCTTGTTTCTCTCTACAATTTCCTGTCTCACAATGTACCGTTTGTGTCCGGGAAGGGTTCATAGTTTCATAGTTGTCGATTTTCGAAAGAAATCAGTACATGCATATTATTTCCGATTTTTAGTTTATTGTTTTTATGTACTTCATATAAAATGGGTCACTTTTTTTTCTTTAGGGTACTATTTTTGTTACTAAATATTTTTGTGGTTTTGTTTGTTTTCTTTATTTAATAAATGTTTTTTATACTTTAATTAGAATATTTTTTTTACATTTCCAATTAAATATTGCTCGTTTGTCGCAGAATATAAATTCTTTAAATTTTTGGGATTAAGATTAAAAAGATTAAAAAGGGCGCACCAAAGAATGCTGCACGTAGGCGCCAGATACTCCAGGAACGGGCCTGGTTATGTCCGAGGGTGATATGTCTCTTAGGTCTGATGGGTCTAGCATAGGTTTGCCAAACATTTCAAACTTGGCCCTGCCCCCAGCGGGGCAGGTACACATAACCCTACATAACGTACTGCATTGTTTCTTCATCTTCCATACAGAGTCGGTATTCGGCGCCTTCCACCAGTCCCATCCTCTGTAGGTGTGATCTCAGCCGGCAGTGGCCCGTGTATACTGCAGTGAGCGTACGCGCTCGATTCCTACCAGCCTTTAGGAGTTCTCCTGTTCTATGTTTGGATGGCCCTGCTAGAATTTTCTTGGCATGTTCCAGTCCAGGACTGTCATTGCAGTCCCGAAACGTTGCACCCCTAACCCATTCACAGAGCCTGTCTCTTGCGAGATTTTCTGGAACGCTAAGTGTTGGTTCTGGGCCCACGGCATTTCCCTCTAGGCCGACACGATCTGGTATCCATATTAGTGACATTTTGTTCCTATCTTCTAATATATTGAGTAGTTTCTTACAATGAAGAATCGTCATAGACGTGCTTTTCGTTGCCTCAACTGCTTTCAACGCGTCTTGACTATCCGAAAATATGCTTATTGTTTTCCCGGTGTATTGCTGTTCTACCAGCAGTTGCACACAGGTTTCAATAGCATATAGCTCAGCTTGGAAAATTGTGGTGTGTTTTCCAAGACTGTGGTAAATCTCAGTCTTTGGACTGCTGCAGTAGATTCCTGCGCCAGATCCTTTTTCGTTTTTGGATCCGTCCGTGTACCAATACATTTCCGCATGTAATAAACCGTTTCTCGGCTTATCCCATTCGTCCCTATTCGGAAACAGGACATTGTAGAGGTGTGTGTCAAGAGTTGGACTGGTGGTGTGAGATCCGAGACCATTCCCAGGATCTCATCCGACTGTAGTTCGTCTACTAGTCGGTTTCGTATGAACATGATTGTTCCTTGGCTTTCTCGTGCCATATTTAGAAACCTATATGTAGCCCATCTAGCCTCTCTTTCCAAAAGAATTTGAAGGGTTTCCATAGCTTTTGACGGCGTGGAATGGAAGGCACCAGTCACCGCTAAGCATGCTTGTCGTTGTAGTTTCGACAATTTATTATTTGCCGTTGTTTGGTTGGCTTTCTGCTACCAGGTACTGCACTATACGTGATAATAGGTCTTATTACATTAACATAGATTAGTAGGTAATTACTTTAAGTTGATTTATATTGATTGTTTGGAAAGAGAAGCATTTTGATGCCGAACCCTAATTAATTTTCCACCCGTGTGTTCTAGTGTTCATTGAAAATAGCGTTATAGATTTCTTTGTTTTTTCCTTTATAGATCCATTGCCAATTCAAAACTGAAATATACAATCCGATTCTTCAAGAAGACCGATTTTTGTAGGTGATAATTGATAACTTGATGTTGTGTAAAGGTCCCTACTATAATTCTGAATTGGGTTTTCCGATTTTTTCATTCGCATTAGTAACAAGTGATTAATTATAAGATTAACAAAATTATAAGATTATGTTAAAATTTATCGAAAATAATACGTTAAGTAAGTATCTCTCTAAAGTCTGTCCAACAAGAAGATATAAGCACCTATTAGGTAGAGTACTTGGGTATAGTATAAGTACCTATAATCTGTGATATAAGTGACAGTAGACAGAAGTCTGTCAATGCACACATACATTCTAGTTTCTGTCCTCTTTGGAATTTTTGGAAATATTCCCGATCGACATGTTGGACAGACTTGGTTCTGAATGAATCTTAGACATGAAAAAATAATATGATCATGATTCTTAAACGAAAAGCCGATTTTTAGCGGAGGAAAGAAAATTAAAATCTTACTTTTGTTAACCTTTGTGATATATGTCACTCACTAAAAATTGTCATAAAATGTCTTTTATATTTCTTTACACTTAGGAATTTTTTAGAAGTGGTAGAACAATATGAAAAAAATTAAAAACTCATTTTTTTTTTCTAAAATCCTCTGTTTTAACTTATTACTTATATTTTTGTTTAGTTTAAAAAAGTGCGTAGAAAATATTTTTTCATTAAAAATACATCCTTGCTAGAAATAAACATAAAGATTATTATAAAAAAATGAGTCCAAAAAGATTTTAGGAAAAAATGAATTTTTAATTTTTTTCGTATTGTTCCACCACTTCAAAAAATTCTAAAAACTTCCTGAGTGTAAAGAAGTATAAAAGACATTTTCTAACGATTTTTAGTGAGTGACATATTTCACAAAGGTTAAAAAAATGAAGACTTTAATGTTCTTCCCTCCACTAAAAATCGTCTTTTCGTTTAAGAATCATGATCATATTAGCCGACCATCAAATTGAGTTACTTGGGTCATAAATGACCTAAATACAAAATATTTTCATGGTGTCTGTCTATCTGTCCGTCTGTCTGTAACACGATATTGTATTGACTAAGAGTGGGTCCCATGGGACCCTCCACTGCGGCCACGAGGGCCTATTGTGGCTCAGTTTCTACAAGCTCTAATATACAAAGAGCGTCAAAGTTCACCCTCAAGACCCAGCCTTTTAACATAGGCCGTGATGTCTGAGGCCGATATATCTCCTAGGTCTGATAGGTCTAGCATGGGTTTGCCAAATATCTCAAACCTGGTCCTGCCCCCAGCGGGGCAGGTACACATAACGTGCTTCATTGTTTCGTCATCTTCCATACAGAGTCGGGCCCTGGATGGATTTGGATGGCCCTGCTAGGATGTTGGATGGCCCTGCTAGGATTTTCTTGGCATCTTCCATTCCAGTCCCGGAACGTCGCACCCCTAACCCATTCACAGAGTCTGTCTCTTGCGAGATTTTTAGGAACGCTAAGTGTCGGTTCTGGGCCCACGAATGGCGAGCCTGCACCAATTTTGGCGAGGGAATCAGCACGTTCATTTCCTTCTAGGCCGACATGTCCCGGTATCCATATTAGCGACACTTTCTCCTAATATATTGAGTAGTTTCTTACAATGAAGAATCGTCATAGACGTACTTTTCGTTGCCTCAAGTGCTTTCAGCGCGGCTTGACTATCCGAAAATATGCATTGTTTTCCCGGTGTATTGCTGTTCTACCAGCAGTTGCACACAGGTTTCAATATCATATAGCTCAGCTTGGAAACACGATAACTCAAAAACCGCTAAACCGATTTTAACCAAATTTGGCACAAAAATACTGTGGCGCCCGAGAATCTGGCCATTAGTTTTTGGTGGTGGTGTGGTATTGGTAAGGGGGTATGGGAGGGGGTTAAAAATTTTAAAAAATCCTAACTCCAAAATTACAGTAGCTAGCGAAACGCGGTTTTCAATTTAAGATTAGGAATAATATTTGCAACAAAATTTGTAATAACATCAAAATCAGTCAAAGTCGCAGTTTTTGAGATAATTGAAACTAAAAGAACTGCCTACCAACTTTTTATTAACATATTTTAGTATGGGCGACCTCCCGGCGCTAATTTTTTTTTCATGTCTTAGACTTCTAATAATTAGAAAAAAAATCATCATTAATTAATTTCGAATTTTACTATAAAAATAAAAATAAAATTGAAAGTTTTTTTTTGAAAATCTTGAAAACCGTTTGAGTTAAAGAGCTAAAAATTTAGGTGAATTATTTTGATTCGACATATAATCGATCCCCTAGTGCGAGTCAAAAAAGCCGCGGGGTACATTTCCTATATTAATCCGGCTATACCCTTTCGTTACTTTTTTTAAATTACCTATTATCTATGAAAAAATAAAAAATAAAGTGTAAATAAAAAAAAGCGAAAAAATGCAAGATCAGTATAGACTTGCGATAAGCTGCGACAAGCTGGGTTTTGGTTTTCCGTTAAGCCTTGCACTGTTCGGTCTCGGTCTTGCAAGACCAGTGTCTCGCTTATCACTACTACCACCATTTTATTACTTCGGTTTCTTTGAGGTCAGCGGCGTGCGGTGACAATTATAGGCGGGGAAGCGAATCGGTAAAAACCCCTATTTCGAGACATTATTTTTACATTTTCTTAAAAAACTGACTAGAAAATCCCTTTTTTAATAACACACATACAACACAAACACAGTCTAAATTATTGTCCACACTAGCAGAAGATTGTCCTGCTTGACTCTCCATTACAAACGAAACAGTAAACACTAAGTTAAATCCGAAAAAAATACAATATTACCTATAAAATCGCAAGCGAACCCGCCCCGATAGATTAAAAGTCGCGGAAGGCGGCCGAAAGATCGCTGCCGTGGCTAGCAACTGTGCGCGATTTTTCGGCTTAAATTTGTCGTTTGCGTTCGAGGTCAATAACACCTACATGAAGGAGGGATAGGCGACCGGCGGCGATTTCCAGGCGCGCATCCATACAGTGAAAGGTTAATTAAATTTACTACGTTTATGTAAGGTTTCAAATAAATAATTTTAACAAATTAAATTAATTTTGTGTTATAAAAGAAGCGCTGCAGGAAACACAAGAACAACTAACAACAAATAATAACGAGAAGCACTATAAAGCGTGGATGACTCAAGAAATTTTAGACCTCATGGAAAAGCGGCGAAGTTTTAAAGGCACAGACCCTCAGAGATATAGAGACACTCACAGGCTTATCAGAAATAAAATCAAAGAAGCCAAAGAACTGTGGATGACGGAGAGGTGCCGCGAAGTCGAGGAGCTCCACCAAAAACATGACTTATTTAACCTACATAAAAAAGTCAAAGAAGTCACTGGGAAACACAAACCTCGAACATGTACCAGAATCGTGGACGGTGAGAATAAACCAATCCTAACCGAACAAAAACTAGAGGAGGTATGGACCAATTACATAAGGGAACTGTTCGATGACGGTGGCCCCTCTTTTCACTCCCAAATAGAAACGGAAAATGGTCCAGATATAATGATCTCAGAAATCGAGAGAGCTTTAAAGAACACCAAAAAGGGGAAAGCAGCTGGACCGGCAACATCTACCCAGAATTGATAAAACTAATAAACGGAGACAATTTAAAGTTATTGGTAAACCTCTTCCATTCTGTATACAATACCGGAAACATACCGCAGGACTAGCTAACGTCGACATTTATACCTATTCCTTAAAAAAAAATGGTGCAAAAAGATGTGATGAGTTTCGTTTAATAAGTCTGATGAGTCAAGTCCTAAAGCTGTTTTTAAAGGTTCTGCATAATCGAATCCGAAGAAAATGTGAGCTAGACATAAGTGAACAGCAAATGGGATTTCGCGAGGACTGGGGACGAGAGAAGCCCTGTTTGCGCTATCGGTACTTTTGCAGAAGTGCAGAGATCAACGAAAGGAGGTACACCTATGCTTCATAGACTACACGAAGGCATTCGACTGCGTCAACCACAGGGAATTGCTGAGCATCCTTGAAAGAAGAGGCCTGGATACTCAAGACCTGAAAATTATCCAAAAGCTATACGAACAACAAGTAGCTACAGTAAAACTACAGGACACTGAAACAACAGCAATACCTATCAAGTGTGGAGTTAGGCAAGGATGCGTATTGAGCCCTATGCTCTTCAATATGTACTCCGAACTAATATTTCGAAATGCGCTTGAGGGATCAGAAGACGGCATAAAAGTGAATGGCAGGCTGATTAACAACATGAGATATGCTGATGATACCGTCGTTATTGCAGACACCACTGAGGGCCTGCAAAGACTTCTTGATAGACTGTCCTTGGTGGGCGACTCAATGGGTCTCAGGATAAATACAAACAAAACAAAAGTCATGGTGATAAATAGAGATGCAAGCGGACAGGCAACGGAGGTAGTCGTAGGTGGGACACCAATAGCAAGAGTCTCAAAGTTTAGATATTTGGGCAGTTGGATTAGTGAAGACCTAAACCCAGACATTGAGATCAGAGCTCGAATTGAGATGGCTAGATCAAACTTCCTAAAATTGCGGAACCTACTGTGCGATAGACGTCTCAACATCCATATAAAAAACAACTTCGTCAAGTGCTACGTACTTTCCACACTTCTCTACGGGGCTGAGTCGTGGACACTCAAAGTAAGCGCAATGAATAAGTTGGAAGCATTTGAGATATGGGTATATTGCAGAATGCTGAGAATATCATGGACTGATCGTGTCTCGAATGAACGAGTTCTAAACCAAATGAACAAGGACCGAGAACTCCACTACATAATAAAAAAGAGGAAAGCAGCCTATTTAGGCCATATCATGAGACATAGCAAGTATGAATTCCTTCAGCTCATCATCGAGGGTAAAATTGAGGGAAAGCGCGGACCCGGACGACGGCAGTGCTCCTGGCTGAAGAACATCAGAGATTGGACAGGCCTGGACTCACATACCTTGCTGAGAAGAGCGAAAAATAGAGAGGAATTTGCCATGGTTGTTGCCGATCTTCACTGAATGGAGAAGGCACTTTAAGAAGAAGAAGTTATAAAATAACAGTATTATTAACGTTTAACTATTTATTTTTTTATCTTTAAAAAATTTAGGGAAGCGGGGGAAGCACCCGCTGTTTGAGGTAGTCATATTTTTTCTACGAACGTAGTATTTTGAGCGATATAGAAATATTGAGAGAAGTAAAAGCATAGTACAAGGAAAGGTAGAAGTTTTGAGAAATAAAAATTATTGAGAGTTATAGATAAGTATCTCTGATTTTGAGTCAGTTTTTGTTTCGTTTAAAAGCACGTTTTCATTTTATTTTATTCATACTACCTACAAATATATTGATTAATTATTGTCCTCTGTGTTTTATTTGGCCACTCTGTGAAACCAACATTCCCTACTTGTAATTTATTAATTTAAATAATTTTTAGTTATTATAAATTTTTCAGAACACTGGGTATACTAAGGCACTGAGCATTGACTTAAGTTAGTTTTATGACTATGTGATTTAAAAACATATATCCAGATATATCCATAAAAAAATCAGTTTCCAGGTTTCCTTATCTCCATCCCCATTTGTCCCCATAAAGTCTTTATATTGCTACCGTGTTTAACTAGTTGCCTATAAACTAATTAAACTTATTAAATAACTTTTAAAAGGTCTTCCTAGTATATTATCATCTTACCTAATTAAAATAACATTACCTTCAGCATTAAAGTTAACAAACAGAATATAGAAAATATATTTCTTCATAAATAATCCACAATCTATTACTTTCTTATTTTCACTTTCACTAGAAAGTCACGTGACCGCCACAACATCTAACGTGCACACTATCTTTCTTCTTTACTCTTAACAGAAATCATATGATTTTCTTTTTCTAATTAGACAGGCATAGATGTCACGTCATTTGACAGCCAAGAGCACCCTCATTGAAAATATCTGACAATTTGGAAGTTGATGGACCAACGATGACGACCCCGCAGCAAACTCCTGCCCCTGCACCGAAAAGAGGAATCGTTAAACAGGTATGCGGTTTCAGAATTATTCTATTATTTACTGAAGTTTCGCTCAATGTACCATTTAGCGTTTTTCTTTCAAATTCATTCTAATAACAGGCCCGGATACAAACGTGAGTGCCGTGTTGGCACCATAAGGAAAACATTTTTTTAAATAAAATTACTGTGTTATAACTATACGAACTTTTGTTATAAGAGAAACAGTGTTTGTTTTTTATCATGTTATAAAAATAGCAGATTTCCAAAAATATTAATTCTAACCTTAAAACTAGGGCAGCATATTTACATGTGGTGTGATTGTTTCAGATTGTCTCCGGCGATTCTGTTATTATTAGAGGACTTTCCGGGGCACCTCCTCCAGAAAAACAAATCGCTTTTTCTGGTGTAACTGCTCCGAAATTGGCACGACGACCTGGGGGACCAAATGACACATCGTAAGTTTTTATGTTAAATAGTATCTACTTAGAAAGTGCTATAAAATTCCCATGCTACGCTGATAAATTCCTGATTTATTTTCTACATACCAAATAATCTTGTATCAAAATAGTTATCAGTAAGATAAATCGAGAATTAAGATGGTAAATTTCTCTTTTAAACATAAACAGTTATATTATTCTGTTTGTTTATGCAGCTTGATGTAGGTTTTGTTTATTTCAGTGGCGAAACGAAAGATGAGCCTTGGGCTTGGGAGGCCAGGGAATTTCTGAGAAAAAAATTAATTGGTGAAGAAGTACTCTTTACATCAGAAAAACCTCAAAATTCAGGAAGAGAATATGGCGTTATATATTTAGGAAAAGGTCAGGAATCAATATCATATTTATACCTATACAGTGATACATATAATTAATAGTATAATACCCTATGATCACAAAAAAAACCGGCGTCCATTTGGCTGGGAAATGACGATCGATGACATTTTCCATATACATAAATTTACATATAAAATCACAGCAATCTTCATTTTATAGCCATCGCTGATGCAATTTTATCATATGGTATTTTGTATGAAACTTATTTGTAAATATTTTTTTTTGTAGACATCAATACTGCAGAGAATATTACGGAATCTTTAGTATCTGAAGGTTTGGTAACGGTTAGAAGGGAAGGAGTTAGACCTACTCCCGAACTTTCAAGATTGTGGGAACTTGAAGATGCTGCAAAAGCTGCTGGGAAAGGAAAATGGAGTAGCAACCCTTCATCGGTATAGACTTTTAGTTTCTATTAATTGAAGCATAGTTAATATACTTTTTTACAGGAGCATGTTCGAGATATTAAGTGGTCGGTTGATAATTTGAGAGCTTTTGTTGATAAAAGTGATGGAAAACCTATTAAAGCTGTTATCGAACATGTCCGCGATGGGTCTACCGTTCGCGCTTTTCTTTTACCAGATTTCTATTATGTTACCCTGATGATTGCTGGCATTCGAGTAAGTATATCTTGATAGATTGAGTGAGATAAAATTTTTTAACATATTTATACGTATAAATAATAGTGCAATGGATTTAAACTTGATGACCAGGGCAGACCTGATCCTACCCAAAAAGTTCAATATGCTGAAGAAGCAAAGTATTTTGTCGAAGTACGTCTTTTGCAAAGAGAAGTTGAAGTTTTTCTATATTCTGTTAATAATGCAAACAATTTAATTGGCAGCGTCGTGCATCCAAAAGGTATGGTTTATACAGGGCGTCAAAAAAATACTGTATCTAACTTTCGTGGGTGATTCTACAGATAAAAATAAGGGTCAACTTTCGTTTAATCAGTTATTAGAAAAAAAAATTGTCTTTAAAAAGCTACTGTGAACCACGGAAAATACAAATTTTCCTGCGGAAATGCGTAATTTCCAGATTTCGCACTTTAGAATAACTGAAATCTGCTATAAAAAAATGCATTTTGCGTTTTTAGTATTTTTCTGAACATATAAACACAAAAATGTTCCTGCGGAAATAAGCTGTTTTCGTTTTCTAAGGAAATTTATTAGACTTTAGAATAGCTGAAATCAGTTATATAAAAAATAAATATATTTTTGCCTTTTAGAAACATTTACAAACTCAGGAAAATAAAAAATTTCCTGCGGAAATGCTTGATTTTCATTTTCCATTTGTTCCTTATCATATTATCGGGTCTTGTAAAGTATAAGTACCCACGAATTTAGCATTTTTTTTGGCATTGTCCTATGCTTATAGAACAGTTTAAAAGAAAAAAATCCTTGGATGAATCACTTTTGAACCAAAAAAAATTATTTAAAAGTGTCTAAAATGCTAACCAATCTAATAATATTTTTATAAAATCACAGTTAATTATTAAAATATAAAAACCACAGCTTAACACCCTCCACAAAGAAAAGCTAACCAAAGCAACCCAAATCCTAACCAATCTAATAATATTTTTGCAAAATTGTTAATTATTAAAATATAAAAACCACAGCTTAACACCCTCCACAAAGAAAAGCTAACCAAAGCAATCCAAATGCTAACCAATTAATATTTTTTGCAAAATCACAGTTAATTATTAAAATATATAAGAAAACTGCATGATCCAATGATTTTTTGTTTTGAATCAGCCCTATTTACGCAAAGCTTTAATAAAAAAACAAGAATAAGTGCAACATTCCGAGGTACTTATAGTTTACAAGAACCTATATTATCTATTCTACAAGAATTGTTATTCCTCCAAAAGATGTTTTACCCCACCCAGCACCCCTATTCGCTCCCGGGTACCGTAAGCTTCTAAACTGAAAAATGTATGAAAAACAAAGTGCACAAAATGACATTGACACATTTCCGCAGGAATTTTTTTGTAAATATTTCTTTGCTTGTAAAGGCTCGTATAAAACAAATATAAGTTCATTTTTCATGTAACTGATTTCGGCTATTCTAAAGTCAAAGCATTTTTTTATGTAAAATAAAAATAAAACATTTCCGCAGACACTTTTTTGTGTTTTTATGTTTAGAAAAATGTCTAAAACACACCCCGAAGACTAGTTTTGATGTAATAGATTTCGGCTATACTAAAGTTCGAAAAATGAAAATGACGCATTTCCGCAGGAAAACTTTTGTATATTTGTACTCCTAACGCCTTCTAGAACGCATATATAATATAAGTCATTTTTTATATAACAGATTTCAGCTAAACGAAAGTTGAGCTAAAAATAAAACAAAAGGTTCCTATGAACAGACGCCTTAAAATGCTTCCCGAAGAAGTTACATCTCTTACTCGTACCAAATTTCAAGAAAAACGGTTTACCAACGTTCTTAAAAATAAACAAAATATATTATTTTTATTTAACCTTTCCAGGGCTGTAATTTCTTCGGGGAGCATTTTAGGGTAGATGTTCAGAGTAGAGGTGGGAATTCTAGTTCCTTGGGAGGAACTAGTTCCTTAGTTCTAGTACCTCCAGAGGAATAGTTCCTTGAACTAGGTTTTTAGTTCACAATAGTTCCCGACTAACATTGACATCCCCCTTGCTTGCTAATGCGTTTCGTTGTCAGTCAGAACCAGAACTATTCATAGTATGATCTGTATAATTTTTATAATGTACGGAGATATAACGAGACGTGTAATTGTGTATTTTAAAAACATATAGGAAGTTTTATTGCAGATAAAAAAAAAATAAAAAAAACTCAAATCAGAATTTAAAAAACTATATCACAAATCAATTGGAGCAAATATTACAAATATTTTACGAAAAATTGCATTTTTCCTGACTTCAAGCTTTTTGTTTTTGTCTAAAAATTCAGAATATCTACTTCGTTTTATAAGATATTTCTTAATTTTAGGGACCTAAAGTGAAACATTCCCATAAAATATTTAAAAAACAAACTAAAAATCAAAAACAGTATCCACGACAATTTTCTGTGGTAATTACGCCGCGCCGGCTGTGGCAATAGACAAGGCCGAATCCATCGTCGTCGCCTTGTATTATATCTCGGATCTGCCGACTGAATAGATTCCCGTGAACTAGTCTTTTAATAGTTCCTGTATGTCCGGATCCGATAACATACGGCTGGCACTCCCCACGCCTGCCTAGCATCAATCGCGCTGGCTGATCCATACGTAAACTAGTCTTTTATTTAGTTCCTCTAGTTCCTTTAGGTCCGGATCCGATAACATACGGCATACGGCTGGCACTCCCAACTCCTGCCTAGCATCGATCGCGCTGGCCCGATCTGTTCGTACGTAAACTAGTCTTATTTAGTTTAGAAGTTTAGTTCCTCTAGGTCCGGATCCGATAACGTACAGCTGGCACTCCCCACTCCTGCCTACCATCGGGCTACACGCGCTAGCCGATCCGTCGCCGTCACATATTCTGTATTCTATATCGGTCACAGTCTCGATCCCGATAGGTCCTGAGGAACTAGTTCTTTGAGAAACCAGGAACTAGTTCCTTTCATTCCGGGGTCGGAATAGTTCATTTGAACTAGTTCGTTCACGAACTACACACCTCTAGTTCAGAGGAACTTTTTGTTTTATTTTTATTTGTAGAATCACCCACCGAAGTTAGATACACTATTTTTTTGACACCCTTTATTTTTATATAATTTAATATGTTCTATATGGTATAATTTTTTATATTTTCTAGGCAACATCGCAGAGATATTGCTTCGTGAAGGATTTGCTAAGTGTGTAGATTGGTCTTTGGCCTCATTACCTTCAGCAGATATTCAGAAGTTGAGAGCAGCTGAACTAAAAGCTAAAAATGAACAAAAACGCATTTGGAAAGGTAGGGCCCATGAATAGAGTTTTTCTTGTAAATTAACACACGTATTTGAACTTTTAAGATTACCAAGCAAAAGCACCGCAAATATCTGGTAAAGAGAAGGAGTTCACAGCAACCGTCATTGAGGTGGTTAATGGTGATGCTTTGCAATTGAAACTTGCTAATGGCGAAGTCAAGAAAGTGTTCTTGGCCAGTATTAGGCCTCCAAGGGAACCTGGTAAGGCTGGACCCGATGAAGATGGAAAATTACCACCCAGGCCGAAAGGTATAAATAGCATAATGATCTATTTACAAACATAATCTTATTAACCTGTTTGTCATAGGTTTTAGGCCATTGTATGATATTCCCTGGATGTTTGAAGCTAGAGAGTACCTTAGGAAAAAAGTCATTGGAAAGAAAGTTCACGTTGTTGTTGATTACATTCAAGAAGCTAGAGATAATTTTCCTAGAAAAGAATGTGCCACCGTAACTATCAGTGGAAAGTAAGTCATAAAGGATTCTTATACCTTCGGCTTTTAATTATTTTATTTTTATTAGGAATGTCGCAGAAGCTTTGGTTTCGAAAGGTCTTGCAACAGTTGTAAGATACAGACAGGATGATGATCAGAGAAGTTCTCGCTACGACGAATTACTAAAAGCAGAAACAAAAGCAGAGAAATCACAACTTGGTGTTCATTCAAAGAAAGATGGGGCTCCTTTGAGAGTTACTGAAATTGTTAGTTTTTTTTATTGTTTAAGAATATTATTTGAATTTATTAATATACTTATCTTCTAAATTTAATGTAACTAAATAAAATGTTTAAATTTCTAGGATGGTGCTAGAGCTAAATTGGAGCTAGCTTCATTTCAACGAGCTCAGAGGATTGACGGTATAGTGGAATTTGTAGCCAGTGGGTCAAGATTTAGGATATATATTCCAAAATCAAACAGTCTGTGTACATTTTTACTTGGTAAGTAATTATAAACCATTAAATGCAACCAACTGACCTAACCAACCCAACCAAAAAAAATTTCCTGAAAATCTTGAGGAAAACATATAAATTTTAAAATTCTTTTTTTTGCAAAAAAACGCCGAAACTGAGTGTTTCTGGGGTCGAAAAATATGGGTATATCTAAAAAAAACGATAACTTAACCTGTTTTAGGGGGTATCAATTGTCCAAGAGCTAGCCGCCCCGCCACTGGTAATCTACCCGCTTCCCCAGGAGAAGAGTATGGCGACGAAGCTCTTCAATTTACGAAAGAGAGATGTTTGCAGAGGGAAGTGTCGATTCAAGTGGATACACACGATAAAGCCGGAAACTTCATTGGTTGGTTGTGGGTCGACAATTTGAATATGTCAGTCGAGCTGGTCAGAGCTGGTTTGGCATCCGTTCATTTTTCAGGAGAAAAATCATCCTATGCTTCGCAGGTAAACTAGATTCCCTTTTTTATTTTTGGATGTGTTCTTGATTTAGTCTGTATTTTGTGATTTCGCGTCTGTCTTTAGATGATACTTTAAAGCACCGACTAATAGAGATTGGTACATCCTGTGTTTTACTACAGTCAGGTCCTACATCAGATTCCAGTTCTGCCGGAACTATATCAGTCTAACCTTTAATTTTAATTTAACTAAAAATAGCGGGCTAGACGATCTGCTGAGAGTAGGTCTTCGCGGAATAGAACTATGGAGATACCCTCGACTACTTCATTAAAGATTTGCTCTAGAGGAAGTGAAAACGCTCCTTGAAAAAGAGGAGAGTAAAGGAACCAAGGAACAGCCTGGCACATCTCCACCAAAAGCAAGAGAGGGGGCGAGAATCTCTCACCTCTGCTCCGGCAAGGAAAGCTGTTCAACACCGAGAGGCAAGCAAAAAGTCCCTACAGCAGATAAAAACAACTGGTCATTTAGAAAAACTTTTTATTACAAATATTAAAGAAAACAGAAAGGGAAAAATGATTGGTGTACAACAAGTTCGGTCTGATTTTAAATGTGGCAGAAAACGGATTCAGAGCCGAAGACCTTCAAAAATTGAAGGAAAAACAACCAAGAGAACTCACAAGTTAATACAAAACATCAATGAAAATGTATCGCACGCTAAACAGCACTAGTTTGTGTAATATTACGATTTTTTCAAAACTACTTTTTGGTAATAAAAACTGATGAATGAATTTTGTATTAACTTTTTTTTAAAAAAAGTTGTAGGACTACCGTATATATATTTCGCTGCGAACACTGCAATCATGTATGCTCGTTCATTTGTGCAGTCTGCACTGTAGCCGTGTAGATTATCACTATGAACACTGGAACGCTGTATGATTACCAGCAACCAATAGCCCTCCTTAAAATACTCTTGGGCGGAGTCTGCACTGTTATCGTGTATATTATACAAAATCGCGTACTGGTACCGGAGAGAGGTCCGTGGATTCTTCCAGATGGATCTGAGTTGGTCCACCTACCAACTAATAGTTAAACTAATATTTAGATTTATGAATAGATATATCATTTTTAACTTAAGTTAATATAATGTTAAGTTTCTGAGTTTCTTAACTGAAAAAAATAATCTGTTTAGTTGAAACAAGCTGAAGATGGTGCCAAATCTCAAAAACTGAAAATATGGAAGAACTACGTAGAAGAAGAACCGAAGGAGAAAGTGGAAGAAGAACGCCCTGTAAGTACTCTACTCGTTACATTAGTAAGTACCTTTTCTCAATCTATGGATTTGTTTTATTATAGAACGTCGAACGATCGGCCAATTACGAAGAAGTTATTGTAACAGAAATAACTCCGGAAGGGTCGTTCTTTGTGCAAAAGGTGGCCGAAGGTCCTAAAGCGGAATCGCTGCTCTCGAAATTGCGACAGGAGTTTGAAGCCAACCCGCCTCTTCCTGGAGCTTATACACCTAAACGGGGAGATATTTGCGCTGCTCAGTATTCGGTGGACAACGAATGGTACCGAGTCAAAGTTGAAAAGGTAATAGTTTTCTTTTATATGTGTTTTTTGAGATTATATCTTAAAAAAACTCATCTCTCATAAATTCTAACTGGTCGATATTATCATCTAATTACACCATTGAATAAAAATACTAAGCAGTTAGTGAAATATTATTTTACCAACTGTCTTGCAACCATTTTGTTTATCAAACCCCTTCTTTGTTAGTTTTGGATATTTTTTCCTGTAGAAACTCAAAATTGTTATTGTGTTCATCTCGCTTTAATTCTTTATTTTAACATTGATTTAATACAAACTATAAATGTAGAAACACATTGTGTCATGAGTAGAATTATAATGAAATTAATGTGAACCTCTGTCAGTACATATTTTGTATACCGAGGTGTTTTACTATTTTAATGAAAACTTCCTCTTCCTGGGTCAAAAATTTCGCCAAGTGTAAATTATACGTCATAGATACAACTTATGGAAAGAAAACTGAAATAAAGTTAATTTTAACGACCTGGGCATGGAAAACCTGGGCATGAACTTTTTAATTATTTTAACTGGAATAGTATGCAGTACCTATTTTTCAAGATTGTTTGAATTTAACTCAGTGTGACAATCTGATATTACACACTAGAATCACAATAAACTACTAACAAATTATGATAACAGTTATTTCCAGTTAATAGCTCGCAACTTTACTCTTCTTCTGGAAATGATTTTGATGTTATAAAGAAAAATAGTAGTCTATAAACATTACTTTAAAAAGAGGAGTATACTTTAGTACATTGCATATTCAGAGGAAAATAAAACGGAGAATATTACAAGGTTTTTTAAAATATACTTAAAAATATAATTAAATAACTACGGCGGTAAAAAAATACTTGTTTGGAAAAGGAAGCAAAAGACAATAAAATAAATCACTAAATCACCACAATATACTCAAAGACACTCAAATACACTCAAATAGACTCAAAGTCTCGGTCTTAATTATTTGCTGATGATGCTAACATGGTTAGCGAAACGTGCGTCCAGTGTAAAAGTAAAAGTGTTTTAGTGTATTGTGGTGATTTAGTGTTTTATTTTGTTGTGTAACGCCAAAGGTTCCAAACCCCAACTGTAATAAGTAGAAGACAGTTAGGCGCTCTTACTATGTTGTTAAATACCATTCATAAGAATTTCACTGCAGTCAGAAATTTACGTCCTGTATATATCTAGAAAAAGATTTATCTATTACCTAATTTATATGACGTCACACTTAAATAGTTAAGCCTTCTCTTCCCGATAGTAGCGGCTTTAACAACTTTAGGAAGACTTTTATGAACATACTATACGACCGTGTCACTTTATTTCTGTGGTTTGTATTTTAATGCATACGACAGAGATAAATATATAAATATATACGACCAGTTAACAGAGAAAGAGATATAATAAAAAGCGACATACAGTGTTGCCGGTTCCTACGTGAAATAGCATAATAAATGAAGATAATATTATATCTAAGCTATTTAAAAATGCTTAATTCTGTTAAGACATTTGCTTAAAAACTTGAAATAAAATATCTGTAGTCAATCTTTACAAGTACCATACAACTAAATATTTATTGGTTTGATCAGATTAGTTCATAAATAGTGCTAGTAAACGTATTTTAAATTGTAAAGCTCTTCCTTCTAAAACTACACAGTGTCACAGGCTACACGCCTTGATGCCATAGAACCAATAAAATTTGTATTAAGTTCATTCAGTATCAAGAGCTTTCAATATTAACTTTAGTTACTAAACTAACAACTGTCGTTTGTTTTTGTAGTTTCGCCAGTGACACAACGTAGTTTTGAGACTGAAGTTTAATGATTACAGCTCTAGTAAAATGAGTAATTAATTGTGGAAATTAAAGATCCAACCCTAGATGCAACATTTTTCATAAACGCTTACTTGGGCGGTTTGAAATTTTGATGCAAAATCCGGCAATACCGCGTAAAAGAAATGTATCAACCCAACTTTTTTCTCTTTTTAATATATTTGATCTTTTATTAAGCTGTCTCATCACTGTCTTAAGCTTGATTTTCATGCATCCGATATCCGACGATACGATGATACAATATTAATTTTATTGGTTGAATTTATAGACTTTGATTGGTTAGAAAATTATCCAGTTTTTATATTTATTGCATTTTCATGCCTCCGTTCATCGGATGTGCGATTTGCTGTGATTGGTGTCATTTTATATTTTCATTTCCATAACGATTTCGCTGTTTTACTTATAGTCTAAGAGCTAGCAACGTTTTCGAGAGAGAATTTTAAGAAAGCCTTTAATATATCTTTTGTTGTGCTTTCCTGAACAGAGTGCGGACCATCTGGCTGGTGTTGCGTTCACTACTGTACATCATATCTGTATTCAACATCTGTTCCCTACTGCGCATCACAAATTCGCCCTGTATTTTGGGAACTAAGGAGTCTAGGACACACATATGTGTAACATATTTAGTTTTATAAAAAAGTAGCAACGTAATGTGAAAATCGCATCATATCTTTATTCATAAACTAGAAATCCCATAAAACACACGAAAATGGGATACCCTGTACAGATGTGATGCGCAGTAGTGAACCGCAGTAGTCTACCGGCAGCCAGACGGCCCGCACTTTGGTCAGGAGAGCATAGCAAAAGATATATTAAAGAATTAGTTTTCTTAAAACTCTCGTTTTCCCGACGTCTTGTACTATTATATTTTTATTAAGGTTAGATTAAATTTGTCAAAAAAGTGCCAAAACGTCCTTTATTGTACGATCTTTCTCCGTTGACGGGTTGAATTTACGGATGAAAAGTGGCGCGAATATGCTATGACCAGAGAGCCGTCGTATCAACGGATAATGGATGCATGAAAATCAAGGTTTACACGTTAAAATCCAGACAACGCTTCAACGATGACCAAATCTGTATAAATTATTTCTAATTTGTTTTTTTTGTACAATAGATTCAGGCTGGTAAAACGCAAGTACTGTACATCGATTACGGAAACCGTGAGACCCTTAGCACAACGAGACTGGCTAGTTTACCAGCGGCATATTCCAATGAAAAGCCTTTTGCGACCGAATACGTCATGCCTTACGTCATTCTACCGAAAGATGAGGAATTCAAAGCGATCGGTGAGTAACGCACTCGCTTTCAAAGACACTTGAACCTAAATAAGAATATTTTTAAATATGTAGCATTGAAATATTTGCGAGAAGATACCAGCGTGGGTAAGGTGTATCTGAATGTTGAATTCCGAACGCAGGGTGCTCCCGCGGCTGCCTCTTTGCACAAGGACACTTCTGGTAGTCAGGACATTTTCAAAGGTCTCATTGCGGAAGGCTTGCTTTTGGTCGAGAATGTTAAGAGGAGACAAAATAAATTGGTAAGTTGTAAATTAGTTTAGGTATAGGCATTATTATACCGTATGATCGAAAAAAAAAACGGCGTCCAGTTGGCTTGGAAATGACGATCGATGACATTTTCCATATAATTTTACATATAAAATGCATTGTACCGTATGATCGAATAAAATCGGCGTCAGCGATGGCTATGAAATGAAGATCGCTGTCATTTTATATGTGAAATTATAATGGGAAATGTCATCGATCTTCATTTCCAAGCCAACTGGACGCCGTTTTTTCTCGATCATACGGTACTTTGAATAAGAAGACTAAGGAAGGAGCATATCAAAAATCTTAGGTACACCGCGATGGGCCTCAAATATGGCCGACTTAAATTCCGGTTTATCAGTGTCGTTCTAATTTTATTTAAAAAATGTAAAACTATGATGTAGGGTAGACTCAATAATTTGTTGTTTTATTTTACGTTGTGAATAAATGTTGGTAGTTATTAAAATTGTTATAAAAATATATAATTCTAATAAAAATAGATAAATTATAATAAGTATTTATTATTAACACAAACATCCGATACGCTACTGAAGCAGGTAAGTCAATTTAACGTATCTAATTTCTTTGACATCTAATCTTTGACAAGTAATAAATAAAAGCTAAAATGCAAGAAAAATATATAATTTAGTTAATTTAAGCGAATTTCATAAATGATCGGTTTACTACACGTATGTATATTATATAGTCACTTACTAACGAAAAGTTTTTCCATTATTTCACTTAATTTTTGCCGAGATCTACCGCACGCTACACAACCAACTATTTTAGAGTCTTTTTCGATAAATCGCGATAGTGTCACTGTTAATTTAAGTTCTGCCACAATTTCCATCTAGATTTACTACCTTTATATAACTATCAGTAGTAGAATATATAATAAATAACATAAAATAAGCTCAATAAAGACTGACAAATCCACAAAATTTCAAATCAAATTCAAATGTGTCAAATGAATCGTCAAACAGAACTGTCAAGGATCCCCACCCTAGAGAGCTTTTATGGTGCTTTTTCCGCCCACCATGCATGAATACATGGATAGCATTATGCTCCTTCCTTAGTCTTCTTATTCAAAGGTATTGTAAATATATTTTATGGTAACCGCAAAACAATTTCCGATCGATACACGTGATCAACTTTGAGTGATAAGCGATGGAGACAGCGCTGCCAGATTGTGATGGATTTTTGAGATGAATCTTAATTTAAGAGTGACAAACAATATATTTATTTTATCATTTTTTAAAGATTTTTACGTTATATTTTTAATTTAATAACTAATATTTTAGTAATTAATTGATTTATTTGTTTTATACCTTATTTTATTTATTACATATTGGCAAAAACTAGTCCATTATGAAGATTATTCTAAGCGTTATTATGGGTTATTTATTTATTTATTGATGTACATCTTAGAACGCCATAAGTGGTAATAATAAGTAAGAGGGTGCTATTAATGCACAAACTATAGTACAATTCTTTTAAAAGTTCCTCAATATGGCCGACCTAGTTACGAAAATTACTAAAAAACTCATTAAATATACTTTATTAAAAATAACAACATACAAAAACAGTCATCCATGCAAACTGTAATAATCAGAACATTATCCACATTATACCTTTATTAAATTTGTGTTCACACTCCTGTCAGGAAAGCCAGAAATGTTTGTTTAAATATTAACTTATTTTAAATTGCCAGAAACACATCAGAATATGTCACAACCACAACTATAGGTTTGGAATCAGTACTAAATTTTATACCTAGTGATGCGTCAACTAACAAGTATAGGATAAAAAAGAATTATTAATATAGAGTGTACTATACAATATCCTTTTGCTTATTTATGAAATGACTTTCCTTTCAAATGTGAGGAATACCAGTAAAATAAAACATAATTTTTGGTTTGGTTTGGTGTTTGATATTCAAACTACATCTACATCTATTACAAACCTTAAGTGCTTTTAGTGAGTAACTGTATTTTTTATTATTGTTTGTGTATCCTGTAAAGTAAAAAAAATATATTTCAAGAAATAGAAAAACAATGCAATAGATATCAAACAGATTCATAAAAACTACTTACAATTGTACATATTATATATTTCAAGTGTTATTTGATCTTTGGTCCCATTACCAACATTACCTTATTCAGGTCTTCTCTACTAGCTCAACTTTTAAACCTGTTTTAAACCTTCTTTATATTTTAAAACTAATTTACAACAATCTGTAATGCCCGCGCTGTTTCCTGAAATTAATATACGTTTTCATCTATTTATTATCATATACATCTTACAAACCTGAAAATTACTGATACGAGGAAACTTCTCAAAATAATTAGAGACCTTTTTACAAACATCTGGACTAATTTATTTTCATGAATTTGTGGACGAGTCACTGTTTTCTAATACGTTTTTAAGCGTTTTACACATTTTTTGAATATCTTCCAGCCTATTCCTCAGTTCTTGATCGGTGACAAGATTATTTATAAGTATATAATTAGTACTGCAGGTTAAATAAAAGAACAAAATCAAATAGAATTTGTGAATAAAAACTCAAAAAATAATGAAAATATTTAGAAAAAGGAACCGTAAACGTCACTCAGCCAAGTGTCAGAGTTCAATTAGATTTACCACAGATTATCAATTTGAACGATTCCAGTCTAGAGATTTTCGTTTTTTAAGCCTCCCATACTGAAGTCCGCCATATTGGGAAGTTTTAGGTGAAAACAAGTATAATAATCACAGAATTTAATAAAAACTAACGTAGAAATAACTTTGAAAGTGGTGTAATGTGCTTATCAATCAAACTTACTACTCTGGCTGCAGTCAAGGGTGGTAAAGGACCTTTATTGTCACGTTCTCGTTCAAAATAGTTTATCAGGGAAGCTACATGCTCTTTGCTTCAACTGTTTAAATGCTTCGGCATATTTTCAACACAATTTCAAGAAATGCAATACAAAAACTCGAAAATTTAGTTCTTAAAAGAACCGTTTGTTAGTAACTGTTTGTGCTATACAACAAATTTAAACATTTGCCCAAATTTCATTTAGTCAGGTTTATAGACTTTAGTGTCAATGTCGATATGATTGATGACGTACGTGCATCGGAAAATGTTTTGCGATTACAATATATTAATATTAATTTATACCGATCGATCAACAATGGCTTACTTAATGATCAAAATTTATTACGAGCATGTAACCTAACCTATATTTTTAATACACTTTTTTGACTTATTCAATAATTAAATTAGAAAACTCCTGATTAAATCTATTTCTCACCTCGTTTTGATTGGTCTCATATTATTATGGAACACGAATTTAAATATCGTCAAAAATTTAATTATATTATTAAATATTTGGTTCGATTTGACGCTAGTGGTAACAACTGATAAATATTCAAATTTCTTATGTTTCGGTGGTTTTATGGCAAAAGGTGCTATGTCGAAATTTTGGCATTTTTCTTGTTACATATATGTAATATGGCAATAAGTTCTATGATCCATTAAAATTATATGATATGGTTTGGTTTTTTAAGCCAAATGGGACTATATGATTTTTATGGCATTCGAAATTTTGGCCAAAACACGATTTTTGTGTTACAATAATATCGCAATAAGATTTCGACATAGGACCTTTTGCGATAAAACCACCGATTTATTGCTCGCCTAAACGAGCAAAATCAGTATAGCCAACTATTTTAATCATCGTTGATTTGTATATTTAATAACTTTTTATATAGACTTGGTGCATTTCAACCGCTGTTTTAAAATTCCGATAGCAGCGCTCGGTACGGCAAAAATCAGAACTGTCCGCCTGCTTCCCTCCCAGTTACCGTTTATGTTGATCGCATTGAAATAGTATTGAAATCGTGGTTATGTCATAATATTTAAGTATTGTGTTTTTTACTAGTGCCAGTTAATTGAAACTATAAACTTGTTGGGTACGAACTTTGTGTGATGTAATGCTGTCTCGGATAGTAAAAATTAAATGAAAAAGAATCCAAACTAGGCATCGCGTTGTGTTGTGATAATTTCAAATGTTTATAAAATCGCCTAGAAAATGTTGCCATGTAAAGGAGAAGGAGGGCGTAATTGCGTGGTTGTTGGGTGCAATATTATTCAATACAACTCCCCCGGAACATTTTATAGCTTCCCAGCTTCCTCGCACGATTTGCTCAAAAGCAAAAATAGATTCAGGCAGTTTGACAAAACAAGTGAATAAACAAAGTGCCCATTACATAATCACAAATTTAAATACTTAGGCAGATTCTATCTATGAGATGATAAAATATAATTTGATAAATATTAATGGTATACTTTTTTTAAACAACTAGTACTTATTATTATTATAAAATTATAATTATGTACCTTTAAAAAATATTTGTTACATCCCAGATAGCCCCAGTTATGCCCCCACTAGCAAAACTAGTGCGTAAAACTACCGCTACCGTAGTTGAACTCATCTAAAAAGTTTGGTTAGCTTGATTATGATACAAGTTACATACTTTTTTTTTTCTTCTCTCAAAGTATTTACATTTTTACTTTTTTTAGAATTTTTACAAATTATTAGTTTTAGAATATACCAAGCCTATGTTACAATAATATACATATTGTTTCCAGTTTTGTGAAATGTAGTTCTTATCTTGGCTTATAAAAGAAAGATTCACTGATATATTTCAGAGATTTGATTTTATGGATGTTGCAAATAATGTTCTGATTTTATTTAATTTTAGCTTGAAAGCTACAGGACTGCCCAAGATGAGGCTAAAAAGGGTCATTTGAACATTTGGGAATATGGTGACATCACGGAGGATGACGCCAAAGAATTTGGACTTGGAGTTTGTAAGTTTTTTTTTGAGTTTTGTACATCTTATATGTATTGATTGTCGATAGTTTATTTTTTCATGCCAAATTGGTTGTATAGGGGGTCCCATTTTCGTGTGTTTTACAGGGTTTCTCGGTTAGGAGTAAAGGTAGGAAGATGCAGTTTTAACATAAAAGGCAGGCGGCCACTGCGAGCGAAACTAAACTAAAATAAGTTTCATCGGCCACTGGGAACGATTTTTGCATAGTGGTCAGCTAAGTCAGCTGCGTTCCCGTACTGGGTCTCTGCTAGCATAGAACTAATCGCTGCGAAAAATTCGCTGGAACCTGTCACGAACTAAAACGAGCGAAACTAAACTACGATTTAAATCTTCGTCCTTATATTTTCGTCTATAGCTAGTCCAACGACAAGATCCTTGACAGTGATAGATGTGTCTGTCATTTTAATTCCAAAGTAGTTTATTTTATTTTACAAAGAAATAAGTTGGTACAATAGGAACGCATAGCAGGAATTTAATCTATCTAAAATTTGACTGATAAGTGATTACTTCAAAATATTGTGAAAAAAACTGTATAAAACGATGTAGTCGAGTTATTTTATTTAAAAAAAATGGTACGTGTCAATACAAAGCAAACAAGAACAAAGCACCACATACCAAAAAAGTATAAAAAAGAACTATTTCTTACTTAAGAAACTTTCCGCATTTATTATCAGTGGCGGAAACAGAGGGGGGGCCCATGGGGCCCGGCCCCCCCCTAAAATCCATAAATTGGGTTAAATATTATGCTTTTGGGTTAAAAATGGCGACCTAAAAAGCATATTCTACATTATTTTTTGTTTGGGCCCCCCCTAAAATAAATTCCTGTATCCGCCCCTGTTTATTATTATATTTATCAATATAACTTATGTACAAATACAAATTTGTAATATTCCACAGGAATAAATAAAACAAACTATTTTATTAATAATAACACTTACCAAATTTTATACCTTAAAGTTTGATTAATTAATTTTAATATTAATTTTTTTAAACCAGTACCTTTTGACATTATTTTTCTGCAGTACTAAAATCCATTATTTACCTATCGTGTGATGTCGATATTTTACAGCTACTCCAGTTTTTAGTATATGTTTAGTACGATCCTTGTACCATATACGAGATGCACTTATCTACGACGAGATGATATACAAACTTTATTGATGGTAACTTCATTGGTGTATAAGACTTTCTGCCTGGGCAGCGAGTTTTATTTTAACAATATACATACAGTAGAAAAGTACATACCTTTGGCAATCTTCAACATAATTTGGCTTTGGAATAAAATGTATAAGCTCTTGTAAATATTTTGTTTTCGTATGATCTCTGCCTTGCTGAACAGAAAACGACCAAATTTGGTTGATAAAAATCTATCGAAATACAAAGAATATTCATGCATTTTTATATCAATTGGAATGTCTACTATTTATTCTTATCAGTACACATTTTTGGCTTATTTCTAACCAAGCGGTTTTGTCCCGCTAAATTTATCTTCCACCGCACTGTGCGCTCGTCCGTTAAACGCAAAAATAACTGTCACTGTCTAAAATCTTTAGCGCCAACTTCAACTCGGTTTCTAGATGACGTAAAAAAACTGACAGTGCGGGAAGATAGGAATCGAACTATCCTTATCTCTATAGTATCCTTGGGGTATTCCAGGGTATTTGACATAAGTTGACACAAAATTATAACCTATAATTCGGCAAGACTTTGACAAGCCTCAAAAATCTAAAGGCGAGTTCATACGCATCGGCGTCCGTTTTTCGTTTATCCAACCAACTGTCAAACCAATAAAATTGAAATATGATCTGTCATTTTTGAAATAAACCAATAAAACTGTTTAAAAACAACAAGAGATGACGTATGACGGATTTATAGTTAAACCCATCCATAGTTAACTTCAAAAATATTAACTTTTTTTAGTAAAATAAATAGATTGGTATGGGACGTCATCTGCTTTTCTTCTGTCATCTTCTGTCGAAATCTTAGCTGAGAAAAAGAGAGAGAGAGAGAGAGAGAAATAATCCATTTTTATCTTATTTAAAAAGCTCATAACAGGGCTAATTAAATAAAAAATAATGTACACGGCATCTCATTTAAAAAACATAAGTTTGGGTCATATTTCAAGAACGACAGCTTCCAGCTAAAAACTAGTTACGCCACTGAGTTCTATGTCAATTTTCAAACTCATTTTAAAACTCGCTCTGAATTTCAACAAATTTGTGTTGTGTGTAGTATCTTTCACAAAAAAGCAGCACAGTGATGAATGATGTGAAATCCGCATCTTTGTATTTCTCCTCATAAACGAGAAATCCCATAAAACATACGAAAATGGGACACCCTGTACATCATAATTCATTCTGTATTATTCTTCTTCTAATTTTTTTGTAAACTTTTTCACAGAACTACATTTTTTTATTAATTTATAGTGTCACTAAAGAATTTCATATTTTGTTACAGAACGCTAATCGGTTTGGGACCAGATTTAATTAAGTCAGCAGAGCAAGAACCTATGTTACTAAAATACAAAATTTAGTTTATGTAATAAATTTAAACACATATATTTGTACTTTAAGTCAGATTTGGTATGTTATCGTTTAATGGTTCAACTTTGAAAGGACTGGTATAATATTTCTGTTCATTTAAAATGTAGATCTCATCTGTCATGTTCAGTTTAAATTAATTTTGGTAATCTCAGAAATTTACTTTTTAAAAAACATTTCTGAAAGACATTAAAATAATGAAATTTTTAGTTAAATAAAATTATCATAAATTTAATAATAATAATAAATCAGGTATTCGGACTTCCTTTTTACAAGTTGACAAAATAATAGAATATAAATATATAGTTCTAAAAATTTTCATCTGTCATCAATTATTGTATCTGCATATTTTAACTACTTTAATTTTTTTTACGTAATGTTAGCCTTTAAAAATATTTTTGAACAAAGAACAGTGATAAACCATCTTTGTTTATAAATCATTTATATGGATGTATTATCTTACTGGTTTTATTTTTAATGAATATAGAGATACTATGTATACATGATTATCAAACAAAAAGATTGGAGTTTATTTATATATACAGCAGATCAGTGAGTGTATACAATATACAGTTTTTATACAACTATGGGAATATTCCATATATTTATTTTATTTTGTGAGAGGGTATGTCTGCTATATTGTAGGGAGAGGCTCTGTTTTCAAATAAATTTGATTACTTGCAATATTGTGTTTGTTTTTACTAACGTGAAGTGGGGTGACTTTGCCCAATTCTGAACTTTAAATCGTGTTTATTTCAAAAATTGTTGTATTTTCTCAAATGCGCATGGTCTATGCTATAAGTGGTAATAAGGACAACACAACAATAATACGCTTTTTTGTTTATTAAACAAATATATATATAAAAAAAGTAAAAAACTGGATGGGTAAAGTTAGTTGCTTATATGGGGTGTCTTTGCCCTCTTCCTTATTCTTATTGATAGACCAAAGCCACCCCATTTAAAAGCATAATTACGTAAAATATGCTTCATCACTCTCAATATTATAACGAACTTCTGCATAATACTTACCTCAATATAACGTGGTTAGCTATTGCAGCCACGTAGAAGTTTGAAACGTACAAAATAGGCTTTAAAAACAGATCTGGCTTCACAGCACTGTAAATGCTACATCGCAACTGACGGCAAGCGTTTAGCGACGTTCCGAGACGTGGGGCGCCTCCACCCATAATTTACCGATAACACAACGCGTTCTTTTCAAGTAGTGGCTACAGCTACGTCTAACATATTTTCGGACGGAATTTGGCAAAGTCACCTCAAGAGGCAAAGTCACCCCATTTCACGGTATCTGTTTATATTTTCTTCTTCTTCTTACATACTCTATATAGAGCGTCGGCTACCTCTCGCATGTACACGGGACCTACAGTTTATCGCCGAATCCGAACGGCACTATTTGAGAGGCTGTACAAGGCAAATATACTCAAGGTGGTTTGCCAATGCCTTCCTTGAGGTGGTGGCGGCTCGTTGGTCGCTCTATTTAGATAAATAAATATTTTTATTTAAATAAATAAAGCGACCATACTGGCTGGGGATCGAACCCAGTACCTTCCGCTCCGCAGATCGACACAGTATCGCTGGAGCTACGGCTGGCCACACTTTTTGTTTATATTTTACCCTACTTTTATGATTATCCCATCAATTTATTCCTTGGTTTCTTTTTGATAAACGTCGTATGAACGAAAAAAAAAAAACGTGATAAAGACGATTGGGGAACGACAATCGATGATAATTTTGGCGAGGTCAATCTCTAGACGTCATTTACTAAAAACTGACATAAAACTCGTCAAAAATTAAAGTTCCGTTCTCAGAAATTTGTAGTGTCGCCAGCGACATGTCAAATGAATAATCAATGAGATTTGTACAGAATTCAAATAGCTGTCAATTTTAAATTTAGCACAGCGCTCATTGGTTCCTTGAAGTGTCAACCAGTGTAGCCAGCGACAGAACGTAGTTCTGAGGATTGATATTAAAGGATAGAACGTTTTCAGTAGTAGTGGGAACTATCGAATGAATACTATCGAAACATTCGATAGTTGCAATTCATTCGAATAATTCGATAGCTAGTAAGAAAACATTCGTTGAAAACTATTCGAATAAAAATATCGAATAGATGCGTCATCTGCCTTGAAATATATTAATTCGGCAGCAAAAACCATTCATTTATAAAATTCATTCATTTGTAAAATTCATTTATTCGTCAGGATCGATTATAATAAAATATAAACTGGATTTTAGTTGTCGCCCGGCGACGTAGGTTTCTTTCCTAGAAACCCGACAGCGATCGGCGGTCGGTGGCAATGGTATGAAAAAAGCCGGCATCTTTGATTTTGAGTCAGATAAAGATAAGGACACATTATTTTTTTTATTGAGGTGCTAGTATTTACACAGAAAATACATTATGAACGGCGCTGTTGCCGTATATTCGTATTAGTTGGTATTAGCAAAGAATATTATTCTTTGGTATTATAGTTAGTTAGGGATAGTATGACTATATATTTTGCATTTTTTTTATTAATATTCTGTTGTTACACTTCAATAATACTTTTTATTTTGGATGTAGGAAAATGATTTTTAATGTTTTTAAGCAAAACTGGTTTAATAAATAATAATAACAGTAATAATTTGTTATACCTATTAACACCAAAATTTAAAATCATTTAATATAAACATTTTTTTAAGTAATAGCAAAATATAAACAACAAATTAGAAATCAAAATTATTTATATTAAATCCTATTTAAAAATAATATAGTCGCTAAATTTTTTGTGGCAACGTTGGTTTATTAAATAATAATAATTACAGAACTAATTTGTTATATTAACAACAAATTTTAAAATCATGAAATATAAACATATTTATTAATTTTCTGTGTAATAGAAGAAAAATATAAATAAAAAATTAGAAATCAAAATTATATATGTGTATTACATTTTATTACTTTGTATTAGTATTTAAAAATAGTATTTGCTTTTACTGGCATTTACTTTAAAAAATAAATGAAATATTTCTTCGCAAAAATCTACATGTAAGAGAATTAGCATAAACAAAATACAAATATCGTTAACTTTTTTTTAAATTGGCACGTGTAAAACTTTAATCAATCAATTTAATTTTCTCATCCCAAAATTTGACTTCGATAACCATTTACTTTTTTTTTTACTTCGATAACCACATTACCACATTACTTAAATATGATTATTAAGTTCAACTAATTCATATTACTAAATCATCTAAAATACAAATACATATGTATTTTTAAAATTAATTGTAAGTTCACCTCATCTCTCTGAAAAATTGTTACTTCTCAAAATTTTCCATTAAAAAAAATAGACCATATACCGCATAAAATTAAATAATTGAAAGATCGGAAAATCACACAAATTTTCGGAAAAATTTTGACCACCTGCACACGCACAGAATCGTCAATTTAAAAAAAAACTACTACTTTAGTATTTTAAATATTTTAATAAACGCAAAAATAGCACAGTATTTAGAAGGCAAGTTATAAAAATTTGGAAGAACTAATAATGCACTGACGCACACAAAAATCAAACGAATACTAAATTTCATTTATCAAAAGCATTCGATAGTCGTGACTTAACGATAACCATTTAGTCGCACGGCGAGGTTGTCACATATGCTTTAGTATACAAATGAATGAATGATTTTATTCGAATGAAACCATTCGATAGTTGAAATCATTCATTCAGTAACCATTCGATAGTCTAATTCATTCGATAGTTCCCATCGCTAGTTTTCAGACACACAAATCTATCGGGTGTTTCTTAAAAGTGGCTCACACCTATAACTTTTTTATTTTCTAACATAAATAAAGGAGATTTGGTACGTTCAATGACTAAAGAATACAAGGACGTGTAACGCCCATATACGGGCTACAGCAGAATTTGTGACCTTAGACGCCATTTTTTTGAACATAACGAATGAGTCATCTCTTATAAAGTCATCAGCTGGTCATCAGCGACAATTTTAGCGATTTTTAATAGTGGGTTGTGTGTAGTGAACTTTGTATAAACTTTATTACAATGGTAATTTGTTCAGCTTTCCAGTGTAAAAGGCGCAATGATAAGAAAGAGCCAGGAGTTACGTTTTATAGGGAAATAAACAGTCCACTACACCTTTTTAGCGTGTTTTTTTTATTATATATATTTATTAACAAGCCGAAAACAATTCAGTACGTCAATCAATCCTAATTTGTGTCATACAGTAACATACCAAATCTCGTTTTTTTTATCTGAAAAAATAAAAAAGTTATAGGGGTGAGCCACTTTTGAGAAACACCCGCAATTTCCAAATATTTTTTTCTCGAATTTTAAATTACACCGAGAATTACACCATTTAAAAATCATCTTTACTCAATTTAAAATAAATTACAACCTTCTTAAGACCAACTGGCAGAAATCGCCACTAAAAAATAAGCAAAAGTACGGGCCCAGTAAGTGACGTCTAGGGCTTGACCTCGCCAAAATTATCATCTATTGTCATGCCCCAGCCGGCCCTTACGCCGTTTTTTTTTCGATCAAATGGTATTAGATATACAAATAATCTTCTATGGCAACCATGTAATTTACCTGTATTGTTCAGCATACACACAATCTAGATATTCTAGATTATACAGGGATTTTCACGCAACTCGTTTATTAAAAGTTTTTTCAGGATCTATTGAGACACAAATTTGAAAGTTTCAAATTAATCTTATTTTCAGGCGTCACTTCTAAAATATTCTACTTTCTTCACGTTAAATTGGTATTTTTTAAGTCTACATAAAATTCTAAATACATTTTGTATAAAATATAGAATGTTATACAGGGTCCGGCAATAGTGTGTCGGGCATCTGTAGGTCCTAGAATAAAAAAACTTGGGAAGTTTGTTTAAGTGCAAATCTAAAGTATGTACTAAGATATATTTCAGGAAAATATTTTAACTTCTATAGGGTGGCTCAAAAAAGTGTTAGTGGATCGGGATGATTTTTTTTAAATGGAACACCCTGTATATTATTGCTTTTTTGGCTTCCTTTCAGATCACTTTACATAATCCTAAGACATGAGTAAATATATTTAGATAATTTCAGAGATATTAATAAATAAGTAAAAATTATTTATTTTTCAGCCTTTTTAAAAAAAATATTAATAATACAAGAACTGTCCTGAAATCAAAACTATATTAGATATTTACTTTAGATGGTCTGTACTTACTTTGCTATAAATATGGTGATCGTAAATCGTACAGGATGTTCAAAATTCTACGCCAAACTTTCTAAAATATAAAATAATTTTTCTTTGTTTTTTCAAACGGAACACCCTGTATATTATTTTTCCAATAGATAGAGAATTAAAAAATGAACACTTTTTGCATTTGGAGTATTTCAAATTTTTTAACGGTCTCGCAGATATTCCCGGTTTTGTATTTCATATGGCATTTTCCACAGTAAATTTTTGTCAAAGCCACCCAATGATTTTTCTCCCGTATTTTACCATTGAAAACGACATATGAAATAATACTGCGTGTATCCGGAAAACTATTAAAAATGTTGAAATACTTTAAATACAAAAAATGTTCATTTTTTAATTCTCCATCAAATAAAAAAACAATATACAGGGTGTTCTAGTTAAAAAAACCAAGAAAAATTATTTTATATTTTTGAAAGT